TACTATGAGACAAATTAAAAGATGTGACTACATGTGCCATCTAGGCAAGCCAAAGAATAGAGCCTGAAAGTAGTCTGTTTCCTGAGTCTGTCCTATAAATTGCTAAACCACTCAAGTAGGACTGTGATATATTTCATTTCTTAGACATGTTCCTTTGCTATTTTAAGTAACTTAAATGATGAAAGAGGCTATAAGGTACAGTTTGATGAAAAGCACATTTATCTACTGCATTATTATATCTAAAACACAGCTTTGTAGTTTATCAAAAATGAAGTGATAGCTCCTAGGACCTTCTAAACTGGATTGTTATCAAGTCTTATGTTAGAAGCATATGGCCATTTTTCATGTATGTGAAAAGAACGACTCAGAAAACATGAAATTACCATTCTTCTCTACCAGTTTATAGTCATATGGGCACAAGCTATGAGGAAGGGGTTGGTCATATCATGGCACTGGATGATGACCAAGGCTTTTTCCATCTGGGTTGATTTACTGACTACAGGTTTTTGTTTTTTTTTTTTTTTTAAGACTACAAGCTTAAGAATAAAGTCAGCATTGTGTCTAAACCTTCAACACTGCATCAATTCAATAAATCTGAGTAGTTCAAGGTTAACTCAGAGGTAGAGGTTATCAGCCTCTCCTTCATAATACCTGATACCATCAACCAGTTTACTTCCTCACCTGAGTTGATTCACTGACTAGGGAGGCTATGAGTGCCTGTGTATGCTTTAAGAATACAAACTTAAGGGGCAGCTGGGTGGCTCAGTCGGTTAAGTTCCGGCTCAGGTCATGGTCTCAGGGTCCTAGGATAGAGCCCCGCATCCGGCTCCCTGCTCCACGGGAAGCCTGCTTCTCCCTCTCCCACTCCCCCTGCTTGTGTTCCTTCTCTCGCTGTGTCTCTATCAAATAAATAAATAAAATCTTTAAAGAAAAAAACAAAATGCTAACTGTAGCATTTTACCTTCCACATATCTCTGATCTGTGATCACTTGTGATATTACTATGACCAAATTTCAAATCCTACTGAAGAGTATTACAATTTACTAAAATTCAGTCTGAACAATTTCACTATCATGTAAGTTTACATTATATACAAGTTCTGTTAATTTTACCCTCAACAATACCTAGTACATGAGAAAAGTGTAAAAATCACATTAAGAGCAATTTCCAATTTATTCAATGACTACATGGATATCAAGTACTATACCATGTTTCAGGTTCTATGCCAAATTCTGATACAGCTATTAGCAAAGCTGACAAAGTCTTTCTTAAAAGAACTAGGAAATTTCTTTTTTTTTAAAGATTTTATTTATTTGTCAGAGAGACAGAGAGAGCTCATGCACAAGCAGGGGGAGTGGAAGGCAGAGGGAGGAGCAGGCCCCCCGCTGAGCAAGGAGCCAGATGCAGGACTGGATCCCAGGACCCTGGGACCATGACCTAAGCCGAAGGCAGACACTTAACTGACTGAGCCACCCGGACGTCCTAAGAACTAGGAAATTTCTGCAAAGTCTGACAAACAGTACTTGAGAGCTTTACACTCGTAAAAGCATCGTTTTTTACACCTTTCTTACATAATGTATCAAAATAAATTAAAGCCAAGAGGAAAAGTTCAAACAATGCATGGGTTTAACCTGTGTGTTTTCTATGAAATTTAAGTAGTATTTTGTTAAAAGAATTTGCTTTCAAATGATCATATGATAAGGCACATCCCTATCAAGTTTTAGGATCCAACTGAAATTCAAAGAGAAGCCTCTGATTCAATTTCCTGATAAAACGAGCCAGTACACTTCACTTTAATAATAAGCCTGTAATTTGCCCACTGATTCATTGATGTGTCTGAACCAGATTTAATCTTCTCTCTTTATAGTTTCTCAGCATCCATTCTCTGAAATTTTCTGAAAATTTATTAGTTCTGTCAAGGCCACATATACACAAATTCTGAACTACAAAAGCTGTTTCCACTGGTCACCTTTCCAGAAATAACTGATTTCATAAGAGGAAAACAGCAGATTCTTATATTAAATAACAAATTCTGAATTAAACAAAAGGAGGATGTCCCATCTTAGAACCAACGGACCTACATTATTGAATTTATTAAATAAAAGGCCCTTTATAATTATCTGTCACAGAGCTACAGTCTAAATCCTGAAGGAAAAAGTGGATGGAGACAACTAAGTGAGAACCTAAAGGATACAGACAAGAAAGTGAACAGAAAAAGGGTAGTGGTCAAGAGTACAGGTGCTACAGCCAAACTTCAATAATGGCTGTGTCATTTATCAACCTACTGAGCAGCTTACGTATTGGGGTGAGCAAGTTATCACCTTTTTGGACCTCAGCTTCCCATAAGTAAAATGAGAATAATAGAATCTATCTCATAGGGTTGTTGTCAGAATTGAAATGGCACACAGTACATACTTAAAAGCTCAAAAAAATATAGCTCTTATTATCCAATACTCTAACAGTAGAGCACACCCAAAATTTATGGTGCTATGAGTTTTTTTCTAAGTCGGTTATTTGGAAAACTCAATGTTTTTCTTCTGAAAAACATTTCAAGTGGAGCCCTTGTGTCTCCCCGCAGTCCTGCACCAGTGCCAGTTCCAACACAGTTTTGCCACGGCCCACCAACGGTTCTGGCACTGCGCGTCAGCCACCATACAGCCGCCAGTGGTATTTATAAACACGTGTCTCTCTCTTCCTTAAAAGTTCTCAGCTGTTCCCTACTGTCCACAAATGGAGACGCCAATCTCCTTCATTTGGCACACAAGATTCTTTACAATCTGGCTTTACCCTCTGTTCCTGGTTTCACGTCAATAACTTCTCTGGAAGCTAGAGCCACAGCAGATAATTCACTGTGTCCTAAATAGCCCATGCATTTTAAGAGACTGCATGCCGCTGTAGGTGCTTTTCTCTGTATGTCTGAGAAAACTGTCTTCTTGAACCCGCAGACTTAGAAAATTATTCACCCTTCTAAGGCCTAGATGAAATGCCACCTCATTTATTTATTCAGCAGGAAAATGTACTTAATACTAAAATGTGCAAGGAAGGCCCTATGGAAATAAATAAGACATAGTTCCAGCATTTGGGGAATCTATATCTATAAGGAGAAAGGTATGTTAAAATAAAATAATAACATAGCATACTATGAGTAATATGTATAAGACAGAAAAAAGCAATGCCTAAGCTGGGTTCTACAGGATATGGGTTTCTCTGTTTCCATTTGTACCATTTTAACTGGACCATGATTGTAATAACTACTTTTACAGTCCTGTGCTGAACATCTATCTTCCCTAAGACTATAATTCTAGGGTGGAAATTTATTTATCCTTTGTTCCTCAACACAGGGTAAGTTATCCACCTAAAGGATAATTAGGTTTCCATATTACCCAAAACCCTTAATCCACAATGTAACTGATCTATAATAGCAAGAGAACCTTAGAACCTGGTCAGCATTGACAATACTGCACTGAAAAGTCAGGACAGCTCCAACTTGGAATTACTCAGTACTTAAAGAGAGAAATCTAATTTCCACTTAAATCTGTAAGCAGTACTGGTATTTTGCTTCAAATGTAGTGCTGTTTCTTTCCCTGACAACCCCACATGAACTAGTCTATTGAGTTCAAGAAATAGCAGAATCAGAAATTCTAATTCCTGCTCAACAAATTGACTGTGTTTCTTAATTACTCTGGAAGGGGATGAGGACTGTAATTACCTAGGGACTGCAGTAGCTAGCACATGACAGTTTCTTCTTGGATCTGGAAGTCCAGATTTACCCATTCATTTACTTAAATTTCTGTGAAAAATCCACTATGCAGCAGGAACTGTTTTAGATACTGGGAGACAGCCATCTCTACTCTTACGGAACTTATATTTCAGCTGGGAGAAACACACAGCAATTATATAACATGCCAGATGATTTCGGAAACACTGAGAAAAATATAGCAGGATTAGTCAAAAAGTGAAGGTAGGGAGGCAAGAAGAGTAGTGATGGTACATCAGATAGGGTGATGAGGGTCAAGTCTTGCAGATAAAGCACTAGATCCGAGATTGAAGGAAGTTGGGGAGAGAGAGCCATTCAAGTATTTGAAAAATACTCTAGGCAGTGAAGCCAGCAAGTGATGAAACCCCGGTGTAGGAGCCTGTTTGATGTGTTAAACCCCAAGGATATCAATGTGGTTAGATTACAGTTAGTAGTTAGTAGCGGGCAGAGTAGAAAACTATGGGAGAAAAAACGACCTGAGCTACATCATACAATCTAAGGATTCTGGATGTTAATCTGAGATGGGAAGCCACTGGACCATCTTGAGCAGATAACTCTCATGATCTGAGGTCCATTATAAAAGAATAGTTCTGGCTGTTACAAAGCTCTAGCTAGTATCAAGGAGCAATAACTGGAACATTAGAAGGTCAGGGGTCATCTCAAATTCCTTGTAACCTAAGAAGCTAATGCCAAGAATGATGGTAAAGAGGAGCAGCATGGTCACATCATGGCTGAAGGCCTCAAAATATCTTTCCGTCCTTCAACAAGCGTCTCTGAGAGATCAACTGATACTTTTATTTATTCTACTTTAACCACGTCCTCTTCTTTCATTCACTGCTATCAGGTCTCTGACTCCCAGAGTCACGCACGTACCACACAAGAAAAGTCAAGTATACCATTCATCTTCCTCTTAGCTCTTTTGGCCTTTTGCTCCTCATTCCCTAAGAAACTTTTCCCACTTTTGTAATTTTAAATATCCCCTCTCATTTTGCCTTCTATCATTGTAACCTTTTTGCTGCTTTCATCCCTTTTAATAAGTAACAGTGACGATGACAATGTCTAGTAAAAGAATGTGGAAGTTCACAGCGTCCCTTCCCTAAACACCACCTCCAAGCCTTCTCACTGGGCCAAAGTCGCCCCTTCGACGCCACCCGAGATAAAACTTGCAGCAAAGCCAATCGCGTTACCTGCTTCCCGCGAATTCAACCCGGCCTTTCTTTTCAGCTCAACCCTAGTACGTTACCTCCACTGTTGGCAGCGTCTTTGCTCTCATCTTCCAACTCCGAAGCTACTGCTCTGGCTACCATTTTCATCTTCTTCTTCTTCAGTGAATTTTTCAGCTTTTTCCCTGCACCCACACGTGAGTCTCGAACGGCCGCGGCCATGTTTCCTCACCGGAAGCGACCCGTAAGAGTTGCGACCCGTGGTAACAAGAGGAACTTCGGCATTTAGTTCCGGCAACACAAGGTTCCGGGGCGGGGCCATCTAGCCCGGAGTTCCGGGCCCGGAGCCTCAGATTGTGAATTGGAGGGAGGTTGAAAAGGTCGATGTCTCTCCCTGAAGTCCGCTCCAGTGCGGGGGGTGGGAATTAGTGAATTTACGTTCTCAGCCGACTCCTCGGCCCGCTCACTCTTGCCGCTGGACCGCTGCCGCAACCCGGAGCGGTCCACTTTGATTTCCTCCCTACGTAGGGCCGATTCCCTTCTGTGCTGCCTTATTGAATGTGGGTTTAGGTTGTTCCTCCAAGATCCCTTACTGACCCACAGTCGCACCTACAGCTGGGAGGCCAGGAAAGCGAGTGTGGCGTCTCTAACGAGAATACGAGAATGTCATCCTCTGTCCCCAAGTACCAAAGCATCAAAGATTCAAAACGTAACATACAAGATCTTTCTCAAAAACTTTATCACATAATCTTCCTCTGATTAACCCTTTCCGTGGCTTCCAATCGCAAAACGAATAGAACGTCGCTTTCTTCCGCTGGGTTCAGGGTGGAACGGGTCCGGCCCCGCTGCTTCTATCGCGGACCTAGCTCTGGCCCCAGCCGCGCAGCGCCGACCTGGTGGGCGGATCTCTGGCTTCCACGCGGTGCTCCTGCCTCCCTCCGGGGCAGGCCCTCCAGGCAGCTACAGCCATCTGCCTTTTCCATTTTCCCCCTGAGTTGTTGACTCTTTGAAAGTAGGGACCAGATCTCATTCACCATTCTACCCGTAAGGCTGGCAAAGTTGGCCCAGAGTAGGAGATCAAAAAATATTTTTGCAAGGAGTGAATTAAGGAATGACAATACAACTATTGACAAACTTAGTAAGTCAGACTCAGCAAACCTTTATATCATATTCTGTCGGCCAGAAGTATTCTAAAGGCTCTAAGCTTGGTGTTTTCCTGGTAGAATGTTTCTCGGTTTTCAATATCTAAAATCTGTAAAGGAGTATGGATTTCTCAATCCCACACGTTCCAGCTGCTGGTGGGGGGGTGGATTATATTTACATAAACCAAACTCAATACATTTTAAAACAAAACAACTGTTTTGTTTTTTAACAGTTCAGGAAAAGTTACATTCCAAATACAATTGGTAAAGATCAAATGCCAGCATAAATCTTTTGAAAAGTACAGTTATTATCAACACAAGAAGTGTGTCTAAAGATGCCCCTTAGGATATTGGGGGGGCGGGGTTAGAAGGTCTCACAATCCTGCTCAGTGTTCATCCTCCCCTGCCACGTAGTGTTGAACCTGCGCCCTGCTGACTTTCATACTTAACCCTTGTTTTGGCCTAGGGTTATACACTGAGTTCAAAACAAAGTTGGGAAAGCATTGAAGAAAATTGTAGAGAAGGAAGCAAAAGTGAGAGAGAAATATGACAGTATAAGGAGGCCTTCTGGCATAGGAGGTACCATTTGTTAAGATTATTGAAGATCAGAAGCGGTGTTCTGAGCATTTTACATCTTAATACGATGGTTTATTTTGGAGAGTCTGGGTGGCTCCGTCGGTTAAGCATAGGACTCTTGATAGCGGCTCAGATCTTGACCCAGGGTGGTGAGAGCCAGCCCAGCCTCAGGCTCTGCCCTGGGCATTGGAGCCTGCTTAAGATACTCTCTCTCCCTCTGTCTCTCCCTCAGTACACCCCCCCTTAAAAAAAAATATGATGGTTTATTTATAAGTAGAGATTTACTATGTTTAGCTGCAATTTAAGAAATTGCTGGAGGGGTAGAATTGGTTGATTATTATTCATTCAAATTTTTCTTTCTTTTTTTTTTTAAAGATTTTATGTATTTATTTGAGAGAGAGAGAATGAGAGACAGAGAGCACAAGAGGGAAGAGGTTCAGAGGGAGAAGCAGACTCCCTGCTGAGCAGGGAGCCCGATATGGGACTCGATCCAGGGACTCCAGGATCATGACCCGAGCCGAAGGCAGTCGCTTAACCAACTGAGCCACCCGGGCGCCCCTCAAATTTTTCTTTTTTAAAGTAACAGAAAATAGACTCCAGATTTTCCTGCAGAAATCTGATTTTCCTAAAGGGATTGCTACTATTAAGTGGGAGATTCCTGTATTAACGCATTTAAGCTTCCCAATAAGCCAATGAGTTAGGTACTATTGTTCCTATTATGAAGATGAGGAAGCTGAGGCACACAAGAGATGGAATACTTGCTCAAAGTCATAGCTAGTAAGTGGCAGAATCATGTTCTGATTCTTAGGCAAACCTAAGTAGTCTGCTCCAGGGTCTGTTCAACCACTGAGCTATGTTGCCTACTCAGACCGTTGCCCTTGAGCATTTAACATGTATGTGCTGAGAACAGACAATAGAAATTTCTGGCAAGCACTGGAATACATAAATTAGGGGGAAAAAAATCTCTGCCCTTACAATGAACTAAGATAATTGAAAGGTTTGCAAGTAGAATGTCTGGGCATGGTGGAAATAACCAAAGTCATCTAGATATTTATATGAGTATTTTTTTAAGAGAGGGAGTGGGAGGGGGAGAGAGAGACAGAGAGAGAGAATCTTAAGCAGGCTCCACAGCCACCATGGAACCCGATATGGGGTTTGATGTCATGACCCTGAGATCATGACCTGAGCTGAAATCAAGAGTCAGATGCTTAACTGACTGAGCCAACCAGGCGCCCCGATTTGAGCATGTGTGGAAACATACCCATGATAGCTGTCAGCTTATTACCTCTCAGTTCCACCTTCACCCTTTTTGGCTGCTCTGTGAAAAAACAGGCGGATCCTTTAAATACTTATCCTTTGCCTACCAACGGGTTGTTAAGCTTTGTCAGTAGAGGGCACTCGAATGACATTGTAAGAAGGAGGAGCTGTCTTCCTGGTGCATCTCCCTACAGACTCCTGCCATAGCTTCTCCAGCCCCCAACTGCTCTAGTACAGGTAGCTTCTCCAGCCCCCAACTCCTCTAGTACAGGTAGCTTCTCCAGCCTCCACTATCTGCCATGCACAGTGGTCAGTAGCACCCAGCGGCCAACAGCTTTCCCTGGCCAACCCCCTTATGCAGTGTCATAGCAGAGGACTGCAAGCAGGACACCTGCCCACGAGCAGCTTTTTCTGGCACCTTAAAGGCCATCAATTTCCAGAAAGTTCTGGAGGGTAGATTTCCAGCAAGTTTTGCTGGCTCAGCAGCAGTGAGCCATTGCTATGCCCTTTCCAACAAGGTCTGGACCTCAGTTATGTGTGTGAGATTGGTGAGGGACTCCTTCCTTGGGCACTTTATTTCAGCTCCGGGGGTATTCTCTGTTCCTTTTATCTGCTGTCACTATATTCCCTAGAGTTCTCTTCATTTCTGACGAGCCAATCCCTTGTTACTGCAATGCTCTGTTATAGTTAACCATTCTTTATATTAAACTTTCCAAATATTCCAAATATTAAGTAGTTTCCATCTCCTGATTGGCCCGGACTGATACAGAGCTAGAATGAGTGATGTGATGAAAATATTATCAGCACCCACATCCTGTCCCTGCCTACCTACAGCACTATTAGAAAGTTCCATGGAGGTTTACTCAATTTTGGAAGAGTCAGGGGAAGTAAAACAAGGATTCCTTATTAAAACACCAATATTTATAGGAAGATAACAAATAAAATAATTTCTTCTGGATGGTTTGTTGCAGCCTGGCTGATGTGAGTACATTGAAGAGCTCTAAAATAATGGACATGGAACAGATAAGAGGAAAGGGTAATTGCACAGTGCATCCAGAGCAGGGATGCTGCTGTTTGGCAAGGTCTGAATGCAAAAATGTTTGGACAGGGGCTCTGGAAAGAGATTCTGGTTGATAGTTCATGTTTCTCTGCATAGGGAAAAATCTATGAAGGGAGTCCATAAAGAGAAAGAAGATATCTTAATGGATATCAGAGTTGCTACTTGAGAAGGCGTAAGAAAGAGGGATCAGGGGGCACCTGGGTGGCTCAGTCAGTTAAGTGGCTGCCTTCGGCTCAGGTCATGATCCCAGGGTCCTGGGATTGAGCCCCATGTCAGGCTCCCTGCTTCTCTCGCTCTCTCTCTCTCTCTCTCTCAACCTCTGCCTGCCTCTCTGCCTACTTGTGCTCTCTCTCTATCAAAAAAAAATAAATAAAATCTTTAAAAAAAAAGAGGGATCAGGATAGAGTTATGAGAAGAGCAGTGGTGGGATAAATTTCCCCAAAGATGAGAGTGTCACCGATGTCAAATTCTGTTGTGGTCTCAGAGGAAAAGAAATCACAAACATTTAATTGATGTGTCACTTTAATGAGAGATATAAAGGAAAACTTTAAAAACTGAAATGATAGACCATACTCCTAAAAGAGCAATCAAGTATTCTGAAGTTATTTATTTATGCCAACCAAAATCCCATTGGAATTAACTTTGGGAGAGGAGAGGCAGAGAGTGAAATCTAGATAAAATAATTCTGTTTTTAAAGATTTATTTATTTATTTGAGAGCGAGAGAGAGTGGGGGAGGGGCAGAGGGAGAAAATCTCAAGCAGACTTCCCACTGAGCACAGAGCCCTGGGGCAGGTGGGGGCGTGCTCAATCCCATGACCCTGAGATCACCACCTGAGCAGAAACCAAGAGTTGGACGCTTAACCAACTGAGCCACCCAGGTGCCCCAGATAAAATAATTCTAAGGTTCAGAATAAGTAAATGAGAATATTTTTTTAAAAAGAGAAATCTTGAGGCAAAGTTTCCCTGTTCAGATATTAGAATATATTATAAAGTTACAGTAATTAAAATTTACAAATCAAAAGAAAAAGTAAGTATAAATGAAACAAATTCTAGAATATATAAAAATGCAAAATATTATACAGGAAGTATCAAGAATAAAAAAGGGGTATAATGCAACACTATTTCAGCAAAATTAACAATTTGCAGAGAAAAATAAGAGGCTCAGATCTTACACTAAAATTAATTCCATAATTAAATATGAAACAAAATGTAAA